ATTTTGCTTCTAATTGCTTTATCGCTCAACAAGCTGTTGGATGTGTTGGCTATTGGGATCTGCTCTGCTCATTTCTCACTCGCCTCGCCTGCGCTGACAGGAGAGAAAAGTGAGGGGCAGAGGCGAGCAATCAACCCCTCGCCCAGAGTTGTGTTTACTTTTGCGCTCTGTCAAATATGTTCGAATTTTCTAACGATTACAACTGCATTGGGCCAGGGCTGTTGTTGGCCCTGTTGGATCCTGACCTGATTTTCCATTTTTCGTAGCATGTGTTTTCCATGTTGAGCCGTTCGGGACTTGTACAGCATGTACTGTGCAAGCTGTTTGTTGTTGTCCTTACACTGAAAACGGATTTGTCCAAATGTGTTGTCAGAGTTAACAACCTGCCATAGTTATAGTCACATACTGCCAAACCCAACGACCCATCGCCCGCCCCTTGTCTAATATTTTGTGCCTGTAAAATTGTCGATTAATTGCTCCCTGAAAAGTAGAGTTAGCGAGTAAATGTAATTGGGAGGTGTTATGGTCGCTGTGAGTGGGAGGCGTTTACGATTTCGCAACAGTTGTGATATGCAGTTTAACTAATGTCTCAGGCCATTTGCAGAGTAAATGCAGCATTATTTTAGGTGGCAATTGCGTCAGTTAAGATTGTTTAGATACGCACAGTTTTGAATGCATGAGCAATGAATACAGAAATCGTCACCCGCTTTAACTCAGCTGAAACATAAAGTTGTAGTGTTTTTTTTTTGGTAAAGCATGTTTCTTCTGCTTTGATATTCATAGAAATCATATAATAAATTTAATGTTTAGCTGGTTCTTTGTGCACCGTCCATTGTGTGCAGGGCATGTGCGTGTAATCAATTTTATAACACGATCCTAACAAAAGATCGACGTGTGTTTAACGCGATATTTTCGAATAGACGCAAGTTTCGTAGGCCCTTTGTGGCCCTGTGGCCCAACACTTAATGCCTGTGACAATGTCAAACCCATTTTTAAGCAGAAGTGGCAAGCAAGCTGCGTGCAACTTGTGGCAGCCACGGCGCATAACTAGTGTTACAATAGAGAATAGAAATGGAAAATGAGAAATTATTATTTTGTTTTGTTTTGTTCTTTGTCTTCAGCTGAAGCTGCACCACGAGACGTCTGTGTGTCTGTTGTCCATTGTTGTTCGAGCGGCTGTGGCCCACGTTTTAGGGGCAACTCCTATTGTTAGATCATTGCGGGGACATAGACCCAAGTCCAACCACAGGTGTATGTGCATATAAATCTAGCAATCTATTTAGGCGATGCGTGAGAACTTTTCTTCTCTGAATTTATGTGATTTTCATTTTACTTGTTTTTCATTTTCTGATTTGTTTGTTGTGCGTTTTATGGCTGAGCCCAGCCTAACATAATGTCCGTTTGCGGTTTCTGGAACAATTGCAAAAATGTTGCTCGGACAATGCCAGCGTCGCGCGCTGTGGGCGGCCTCATGTCTCTGGCGCCAGGACGTGCCATACGGGAATACAACAAAACTAAAAAGGCACTCGTATAATTTATAACTTAAATTAAAATAAACTTCTTCTCCTGGAACATACATTTATATATACATATATATATATATTTTTTTTGGTGGCGCTTTTGACCAGTTTTCCGGCACACTGACTTCTCATGCATTTTTAAGCACACATTTGGATTTGCACTGAGTGCTACTGCAGAGCTCCTCCAGCTTCTTTAGCTTCTGGCCCGGCATTATAACAAAGCCAGCGACCTCGTCTCAACTGCAGTTGAATTCTTCAGCCCAGTTTTTTTTCTCTGTGCTACTTGTAAAATATTAATTTTTATATGCTTACTGCGCAGGTGGCACGTGGTGGTTGCCCTTTTGCACTGGAAATTGAAATGTAAAAAGGCGCTTAAAGTGCATATAAAAAATTGAGAAAGGAAATTGCATTTGAGCCCTACAGTAGGTCACAAGCAGAGCAGCCAAAAACCAGAGCCAGGTCAGCCGAGGTTAACTTCTCATAAATGGGTGCATTCAACTGTGGTTGTAAGCATAGTTTATATGGAGCATGTGCTTTAATCAACGAAAATTTATTGGTTTCATTCATTTTTACGTTTTATCAAGCATATAAAAAGTGTAAAAATGTAGCACTCAATGTTTAAAATTGATGCAGGCTTTATAGGTCTCAAAAGATAATTTCTATAAAATTGTATTCTAATTTTCTCCCCAAGCAATTGCCTTGTATGACCAGCTTCAATCATTTATATGCATTTAAATACATATAACAATCTTATATTTAAATACTCTAGAGACATGCAAGGACCTTCGCTTCATTATCTTATCAGGCATTGGGAATTGGATATCTTTTGAAAAATTGTTGCTCTAATTTGTACACCCAATTAATTGCCTTGAATGACCAGCTCCAATCATTTATGTGCATTTAAATATAACAATCTTTATATCCACACCCTTGACCCCACATACCACCAATTTGTACCATAGCAATTTTCATAATTTGTACCATACGTAAAAAACGGTTCAAACAAAAGAAATATTATGCGACTTGGCTTTGTGCTAAGCGCCATGCGAAACAAATGGCAACAATTTAAAGCAAATTGCCGACTGGACGCCCCACGGCGTCAACGGCTGGCCTCGTGCCACTGGCCACGCCCCTTTTTACACCTTTGATGCGAGGCGTTGGCAGCGAACAAGGCGTGTGCGCTGCATGTCTCGGCACGCAACTCTGCACTTACAAGCGCCACATTGCGTCCGCATGGCAGGGGACACGCCCAAAAATATTTGAGTCCAATAATAAAACTAGGAACATATACTTGCTTTAAATTCTCCATGACATTTGATTGATGTGCGCTCCGGACAGCTGCAAAGTGCAAAGTACATATAAGAGAAAGCATGGCGCTATCAGCTGTTTTAGCATTCCGTGTTTGCTATCCAAGGGTAATATTTAATAAGGGGACTTATTTAGTAAGCGCATTTCATGGGAAAGCTGCGCTGATAGCACAAACGACCGCGAACCCATTTTGACAGCAAAATGCCCTCCCAATGGGTATAGGCAATATTTTGCACTGTATGTGACTCTATGAAATCGTAATTATTTATATTTATCAATAAAGACTGCAATCGCAATTAAACAAGTATTTTATTTTAATAAGAACCGCTAAATGGCCGTTTTATAGTATAAAATAAAAAAGAATATACATTAAAAATAAATTGTAGTAGTGTTAAGGTATAAGCAATAAAAAATAATAAACGATAAAAAATTATAAACTATAAAAAATAATAAAAATTAATAATAATAATAATAACAATGATAATAATAATGATTATAATAATAATAATAACAATAATAATAATAATGATAATAATAATGATAATAATAATAATAATAATAATAAAGAAAAGACTAAAAAACGTACCCAAATAGAAGTCAGAAATATTGCGTAGACTTTCGCTAAATATCTTAATTCTATAATTTTGCATATTTTATTTATATACATTATGCCTCTTGAAGAGTATTTAAAGCTTCGTTGTCGTCTTATACGTTTTTGGGCCAATTTAAATATGCATGAGCGTGAAATTTTGCACGAAAATATGTCAATAAAACCAGCAGCATAATAATAACATAAGCAACAACAGCAACAACAATTATGACAAAATTCCATTTGGCGATCCCATTCCCGAACCGCTTTGGCACAAGTGTTGGGTGTTTAGCCTAATGACATTTGCCATCGTAGCGCCTGTTGTGGGTTGGTTGAGGCGGGAGTGGTGCGGCATTTTCATGTGGAATTTGTCATGTGTCAGTATGACTTAAATGCCGAGAAAATATTTTATATTTTTTGCTTTTCTTGGACTGGCACAATAAATTGTGCCGAGCCGTGAGCCTCTAATGGACTTTGATAAGGTGGCAACGGTAACCGGCAAATTTATGCAAATCCGCATTTGACCTAAATTAGCACGAAAATTTGTTAGATTAGGCGCATTTCATTTCCTTTCTGGAGTAGCCGAAAAAACAGAAACGCCACGCTAAAAATATCACACTTTCCCATATCGGCTGGCTGGCATTAGGGCTGCTTAACTAGGCAAGGGGGTAGCTTTTAAGAGTACCATTTCGATGGTCTGAAATGGCAGCCAGCTTACAAGCCATAAAAATTGCATGTGTGCATGTAAAAGGCAAGCTATGGACATGAATGGGAACATTTCTGGGTAGCTTTTAAGTGCAACTCTTTGTATACAACTTCCGTTTGGCGTGTGACGTTGGCAAGAAATGCAAATTTCTGCACATGCTCTGCACTCCAAGCCGGAATCATAGTCGCAGCCGGAGTCGAGAATCGGAATTGAAGTCGAGTCAGCAAGCGCACACGCATTCCATTCCATTAACTTTATCAATGTAAATCACCGAAATGTGCTGGACGCCCGACTGGCCCCATTGTTATGAAAGAAAGGAATGTGATAGTACAAACGATAAAACAAGTGCGTGTTGGCGTGGGGCGTGTGGAATGTTGAAAGTACTCATAAAAGCAAGACATCGGAATCAGCGAAATGTGAGTGTGTTTTACTGGATACACTTGCTGAGTAGCACACAGGACAGGGAAATGGTAATGCTCGGTATGGTAGGACAACAATATCTATTCATAACTCGGCAATCATTTATATGATCTCTATGAAAATTTGAAATATTACTCTTGTCGAGAATATTAACTTTATAATTCTTTATTGAACAAGAAATGTATAAATTGCATATCAAATTTTATTTTTTCATCGGCGGAAAATTGGTGGAAACATAATTTAATTAATATAAAAATGCAAATTGGCCCGGGAAACGCCGGACTATGTTAACTATGTATTTATGTATGCCTGTATACATTTGTATGTGCATTTGCATATTACATAACATTTTAAAAAGCTTCCCACGCTGCATTGCTGCTAAAAAAAACATACTCTCGTTAAATATGGCCTTACTATGCGATTCTCATGTACAAACATAACAAATTTTTTCTTTCAGTGTGTGGATTTGTCTAACACTTGTCTTCCCACAAATTGAAGGCAATATAAAAAATCATGCATGATTTTGTGAATTTCTGGGTAAGTGAATACTCATATTTACATTTCTATTTATATATAAAGAAATGTAAAATGTATACTAATGTTTGTGTTGGGGCAGTTCAGACGGGTTAGCTTCATGTTTTCCAGAGCACCGAGCTAGGTGACACTCTACAAGTTTTTTTAATAAATCACAATTTGTCCCATTTTAAAAACTCCCTCTAGACATTTTATTCATTTTTCTCGTCTTGCCTGCTCCTGTAAATTATGTGTCAGGCGTGAGAACCTACAACTCGGTAATTGTATACGAGGGCGTCTCTTGGCAATTTTCACTGCATTTTCCCTGGCACCCCAACAAACCATTAGCATGTCAAATGCAACCCCAACACCAACCCCTCACTTTGAGGTGCTATGTAGAGCAAATCCCAACTTCAATCCTTTGGCTGTCAAGCCTAAAAATAACATTTTCTTTAATTTGAACAAGAACAACAGGCGAGCAAAAGACTTTAAGCGCCCTTTGACAATTTTCACGTCAACTACAAATCCCGCACGCAGATAACATGGGCCAGACACAAGCCACCTAAAGAAAAAGAATATTCCCAGCCTTGCCACATTTGGTTGGAGCAAAAGGAAAAAAAAAGATGAAAAATAAATAAATTTACATACATGTGCAGTATTCAACGAAAATCTGTCCCAGCCTGCCGCCTTTATATTATATCTGGTATATACAAAAATAAACACAATTTATCTCGACTTTTTGCTCAGCTCAGCTCACGACTGTTTCAGTCTCTCTAGAGGCATTGGATATATACTCCTTTATTGTGTATATACAGATATATATATATATATATATATATATATATGTTATATGTAAAAATATGAAGCGGAAAATCAGTGACAGCAGCCAAGCGCCGCTGCTTGCCACGTATTTGGAGTTCGGTTGGAGTTTTGAAGTGGAGTTAAATTACTTTTGGATGGGTGTTGTGGGTCGGTTTGTATGTAAGCAAGGGTACTCGCTCGTATCTATACGGGTGTGCACAGTGCGTTCGTATCTTTGTATGTTTTATTGGAAGTTATTCCCAGTTATCCCACAGTTTCGGCTGGCGCTGATGGCCGGCTCTGACTGTTTGTCCATCTGTCTGTTAGCTTGTCCGATTTGACTGGCAGCGAATGAAATATGGTTTTTGCCAAAAGCAACGAAATTTTGTTCAAAATCAACCAGGGATACAGAGAGGATGAGAGTCAGACTGTGAGCGGAAGATGGGACATTCAGAAAGGTGTTGGTTTAGCAAATTGCATTCTGATATTCGGCAACTTCTGTTGCCTATTGATTTTTGGCCTGTCACAGCATTAAAGTGTTTCAAGTTCTTCGTGCTTTAACGTTAAGCAATCAAATTCAAATTGACGCTCCATTTAATGGGCTACCCCTATGCCAAAGATTAGTCCATTAATTTATGGCCAAATAATGTAAATTTCACCAAACATCAGACTTGATGATTGTTATTGATGAACGATTGCGTGACTGATGCTGCGCCCCTTCGCAGCTAATTAAATTCTTTTTTATGACTTTGTTGCTGCAATTAAATGATTTCTAATTGCTGTCAAGCAAATTTTCTCATGGCCTCAACTCACATTTGATTTGGTGATTTATTATGCCTTTGGACTTTGCTTATAATTTGTCATATTTTCCGCAGCATTTGATAAAGATTTATTATGACATTTCCTTTGTTGTCGAAAATTAATCATTGAACATAAACTTATTCATACGAATATGAGCCAAGTTTTTTTTTATGTTGGACATTAATGCAGCTAATCAAATCAATGTCCGATAAGTTCGAAAAGAGGGCCCAAATATTACTAAAGGCTTTGTGATATCGTTTGGGCTATTCTATGTCATAATTAGGAGTACATAAGGGTACATAAAGTTAAATAACTCAAAGTTCAGTTAACCATTTAGCGTGTTGAGGTACAAAAAGCCAAGCTCAAAAATGTTGTGTTGCGTTTAGCTGAGATCCAGAAGGTTGCCTTAAACGAATATTAATAATATATTTATTAGAGACGTGTTTGGTTACATTAATAAAGTTAAGTTACGGGCTTTAAGTAATCTCTTGGCCTATTCACTTATGGCTTATGTCATACTTAAAGCCCAAATACTTTTCCTCAATCGCCCAGGGCATTCTCGTTGCATGCCTAACCCAATTTTTGACAACTTGTCGCACACGAAATTATGCAGAATATCAGCATGGAAAGTTAATCAATGAAATTACACGCAGCATCAGCACAAAATTTGCCTTAGTCATTGCCGCACACACATATATATATATAGATAGACCCATCCAGATACACATCCCACATAGAGGTCCCCAAGCAATCAGCTTAGCACATTTGATTTTTGCCACGCCAGCGAGAAGTTTGAAAAAAAAAAAAAAACTACACGTCACATGAATGTTCATTATCGATATGTATTTGTATATAGAATGCGGAATATATATGCCGTAGTTAAATTATCGCCTGAAAGAAATTGATTGACAATTGACAGTTGGGCATTGGATTTGCCTGGCTAGCTGTCTGGCTGTGGGTTTGGCTGGGGACGATGCTGCTCAGCAATCAAGCAGCAAATTTTCTTTATTTCCTGCACGCCGCGGACAGTGGTCAGTTTTTATGGCAGCTGTATCGAGAATTGAGTTTGCCGTCTTATCAGTTCCATGACGTGCGGGCTGCACCACAGCTGACCAGCGGACCCCTGGACCAACGGACCAACGGAACACCGGACCATCATAAACTGACCATCACTCTGATTTTCATTTCATGGTCGGACTACGTGCGTGTGTCTGCCATTTATTGCGCTGGCCTGGGCGGACTGGAGACCGGGAACTGGTAACGGGGGACTGGGGACTGAGCTGTGGACCCTTTCCTAATTTGTTTTCTATTTGGTACTAATTTCTTAATTTAGACGTGGCTGTTTATCTGGTCATTGAGTTTTTCAGTGTGTTAGGCCCGGATCGATGCTGGTGCCCATTGATTGGTTTATGCGTGTGTGTGTGACTTTGGGAGTGTGCGCCCAGTTCCCAAGTTGGTGATAAAACTTTAATTTTGTTTGAATGAAGTGGGCAGCGTTTCCATTTATTTCGCTGGCCAACTCTGATGAATGGGCAGCCAAAGTGGATTAATTTAGATAATGTTTAATTACTGAAATTGTTTTGTAGTTTCAAGCTGTCTATCGTGGTATATCATGCAGTAGTTTGTAAAAATAAACAAACTGTTGCAAACAAACATTGAGTATTTCGGTATAGAATTCGAATAAAAAAGCTAGAGTAAATGCTGCTCTCTTTGCAAGAATAATATTACATTTTTTTCGAATAGCCTTGCGGATATAATACTTTTATTTGTATATTTGCTGTTTTATGCAACTACAATATAGAATATTCTGAATAGTATTTTTGAACCTTATTCATCCTACTATGCCAAGGGAATATCCAAAATATTTGATTTGGTTTAATTTATTTTGTGTTTTAGTGTAGAAAACGTTTCTGGTATGAGTCCGCCATGTTCTGGCAACCTTTTATTTGTTCAACATTTGAAATTTCTATTAAAGCATTGATATCCCATAAAGCCTTTTCAATACTTTCTAAGTATTTTTCTACGGCGTGCCTCTTTACTGCAGTTTTTCCTCGTCTTAATAGTAGACGAAATCCACTTGATACTCTATCTGCAAGTTTGGCTTTGTTAAAATCAGATGGCAAAAGCGCAGTGAAAATTTTTAATTAAAATCCACAGACACACCCACAGGTATTCAAGAGCGACAGCTACGCCAACCCCTCAACCCCAGCCCCCCAACCCCAACCCCGAAGCACGTCACAGCGCATATGCGTTGAGTATTTACCTGGAACGTGAGCCAATTATCAGGTAGAGTGGAGAAAATACTTGAGCCTTGCTTCACTTTTGTCGACACTTGATTCCCCTTTCGCTCTTTCACTCTGTGCTCATTTGCTCTCTCTCTCTTCTCTTTACTCTTTACAACCGAGTGCAATCGAAGTTATTAATCTGATATTTCAAATCGCATGCAAGCAACGTCATCAAGACGACGGTCGATGGACGGCATCGCCATCATCATCGTCATTATCATCATCATCTTATATAAACAGAAACGCGCCCTGGCTGCAATTTCCATTTATAACCCAACTAAGCCGCTTATCTGGTACCCAAAATCCCGACAAATTGGCTGCAGAGCTCGGCTCTGGCCCTGGCTCCGAATTGAAAAGACGACAATGCAAACGTCAAAGTTGTAGAAGGAGACAGACGTTGATTGGGTTGCCCTGGGCTTTGACTTTTGTTTGGTGTATGGCCAGAAATTATAAAGAATTACGATTTTGATTGACAATTTATGGCGGTGCCTGTCAGCGCGAGAAAAAAAATAAAAAAAACTCAAATAATATCCATAGTACGAGTTAGTTTCTAGTTGCTGTCAAATCGAACTATCGATTATGACTCAATTTTTTCAGTTATTGTGGAAGCTGTCAACAAAAAAAAAAAAACTCTGCTACTGTGTCCAGTTTTTTTGAGGGATGCGGGCTAACTTATATATCAGTCTACCTAGCTATCCCTACAATTATTGACTGCTTTATTTATGAGATTTTACAGAACGCAGGATCGAATCGCTTTCGTTGCGAGTCGCGTGCGCGGTGGTTGAAAATGCATTTCAATAAAAAATTCTGTGAAAAGGCAAAAGTTAATTGTCTGACAACAACAACAACAACTAGAACAAAAATCATCCACATTCATTTATCATGCTTAAAGTTTGCATAGAACGTGTGCAAACAATTTACCCAAGAATAGAAGTGCGATCCGATGAAAAGAATTCCATTTCAGGGCGTGCCAAAAACGCACATTGAACGGACACCTTGGGTGGTATCAGAGAAATAAACAAAAAAATAAAAAAAAAATGGAAAAACAGAAAAGAGAAATCAGAGAACAGCGAAAAAAAATAAAAAACAAACAGCGGGTGGTCACTAATTTTTTACGTGACGCTTACATCAGGCTGG